CTCTTACCCAATATCTCAGTGATTTCTCGTGGAAGTGCAGAGGTGGTCTCGGTTTTCATCAAAGCGAGTCACGTCAACACATTCCTATCCATTCCTTTCTTGACCTGTGTTCGGGCGCGGTCGGCGCTGATATTGCCTAGTTTGATATTACCAGTTTTTACACATTGAGGATGATTGCTAGTCCCAAGCATCGTCTATTGGTTCTCTGTGTAATTACAGCTGATCTGGCAATAACAGAGTAGCAACCGTGGGCGGTCAATCATGCTCATGCTTATTTGTATTGGTCCTTGGTTGACTGCCTACAAGCGTTGGGAGTTCTGACGTGTTATGTCTGGCAGCGAGGTGAACAATATTAAATCTACTCTTTTCAAAAAAAAAATGTTGGTGGCCTTGACAAGTATGACAGAGGCCGTTTAAATTAGTTACACATACGAGCTGAAGGTATTTTGGAATGATGATGACTTAATGGGCCTGGATTACACACGGTTTCATATTCTCTTCTGGTAGCGACGGCTTGTTCTTTGTCGTAATAGATGAATTCTGAGATCTGTAAGCGCTTTCTCCTCGGGTACGGTGAGCGAGTTTGATATTTTTCGGCATGATACGACGTGCTTGGTAAAGATGGCCCACTTCTCTAGCTGGAGCTGCTTGCAGGGACCTTTCTTCCGGTCTGCATATCGTCTGTGTTGAGCTGCTGGGTGATGAACTATATGAACACGTCCAAAGATCAAATAGAAATGCGGCTTTGGCTTGTTTCGTTTGGTACCAACTATGTGATGTCGCTGTTAGGTCTAAGCAAATGTATGGGACAATTTGATGCTTCCAATTTTCGTTAAATTGCTTAGTTGTTTAACCATTTTCACTGCCAAAATAATGCTGGATAAATTCCCCGTCGAATGGCATATTGCATGACATATTTCACATTAATGCTTTTTTGAAATATGTGTTTGAAAACACACCCCATTTTCGTTACATGCTTAATTTTCGATTTCATAATGTGACCCACAGTAAAGTAAAGAGAGACGCAGTTCTACGTCATAAAATATAACGGGTAAACAGCGTTTAATAGACAATGTTTTACAATCAGCAATAATCACAGAGATATGTTATTTTTGACAGTGTACACCCAACTTTAAATTTGCTCGGTTTTATTTTTTCAATGATCCGAATCAATCACAGAAAACTTAGACAATTTTGTAATTACATAAGGGAATCTAAGCACCGTCCACGCTTCTATAGGCTTTTTCTCTATGTAACGAACACATTTGCCGTGTTTGGTTGTTTACGTTCAGCTGCTGCCTGCTGCTTTATCCATTACAATGAAACGGTTTACACTGATTGACGACAAACACACAAAATATAATTGTCCAAAACTGTTTAAAAACACTTTTACAACGCCAAACTTCTCAGGTGAGTGTAACTACTGTCGGCAGCCTCTTTTTCTTCGGAAACCTTTCGAATTGATCTGCTTGCAACCAGGCTTGCTGAAACTCCTCAAACTCACTGGAGGTTTTAAAACACTCTTGTCCTGCGAGTTTAGCGCAGCCCTCAAATGGAGTGAGTGGCGGCAGGAATATGGAAGAAGTAAACAAAAACTCCTCAAGAGAGAGGGAAAGTGAACTTCAGCGAGAGGATGATTTGACGTACACACTTAGAAAAAAATCACCGACTTCGGTAATTCATTTACCGAATTCTCAACAGCTTACCCTAATAAACAAATACCATAAACGAACTGTATCCCGGATGGGTAAACTATCCCACAAATGGTTTGGATGATACCCCGAACACGTCGTTAAGCTCTCTTTTATGGTTATTTTTATTAGGGTAACAATCGGTAATGTTTTCGGTAATCGAGAACATTACCGAAAAATTTGTAAACTGGATCAGCAACATTAGTTGTCAAATTTACCGAACGATCGGTAACGTTTACCGATGTGCATTGCTTGATTTGTAGTTGAGAACTGTAATTTGCTTTAATATTGTTTCAAGGTGGCAGTCACTACAACCCATGCAAAAATATGGCTGCAGTCGTGATCAATGTGTTAGTGTTGCAAATTGCTCCATCAATGAACAAAAACAAGTTTTTGTCGGAAGGATTTGGCGCTACACTGAAAACAGGGAAACATTGGATAAAGATTCCAAATGTTGTTTTCAGATCGTCGCCAACGGGAATGGAACTTGGACCGACAGAAAAATAAAACAAGCAACAACATCGGCCTTCTGTAATCGGTATTTATCTTGATAACGAAAATTTATTACTTACGAAAAATATAACAGCCTCCATAATTCACCTTTTTAATTTTTCAGAAACACGAACGTTTTCAAAGTCGATCGAAAATCACAATATGGTGTAATAGAACGCTTTGTTTACCGAAACTTCAGTAAAATATTTCGCCGAAGTCAGTGATGAAGCTGATTTACAGACCTGCCGGTAAAAATGTTTACCGTTTTCGTTAAATTAAAATGAAATTACCGAAATTCAGTCATTTCATTTACATTTTTCAGCAATAAAGCGAGAAAATACCGAAACATCTGTAACTTTTAGCATTACCGATCAAAGACGGTAATTTTGTTTACCGAACTCAGGGTCTCTGTTTAAGTGTGTACACACTAATCCAGGCCTCCGTCGTTCGGTAAATTTTGAACTACAGAACTTTTCGGTAAAAGTTTAAAAATCGTTGAAAAATCCAATTTTTAGAAAATTTATTCCGAGCTTGTACAGAATTTGTTCAGTTTGCCCCATGTATTGATGAAAAATAAAATTTATACATTTTCTCGATTTCTCACGTACAACGGTCATTTAAAAATTTTACCGACTTGTTCTGCTGTTCAAAAACCCGTTAAAATCCTACCGACTTTGGTGATCTGAATTAAGTGTGTAAGGTGCGCTTTTCGAGGCTCCGGATGACTTTTTTGTTCGACGCTATAGAAGCTCAGAGTTCACCCAGAGTGAGAGTAAGAGCGTGTGATAGAAAACATGAACATGAATGGCAGCAAACGTCACTCTCCATTTTATCCCCCTTCGCTCACAAGCTCTGAACTGCTCAGTGGAATGATTTGGCAGTAGGCATTCTACTCCTCAGAAAAATGCTACGATCGGCTCATTTAAAACTCGCGAGCGTGCTTGCAACTCGAAATCAGCATTTGCTAGCATTTTGTAGTGCGTTTGTTTAATTTCAAGAAAAAGCTGTAAAAAGGTGTATGCTCAACCATATAGGGTAAACGCTCCTATAGTTGCGGTACGTTAGAAGCGTTAGGTTCCTATAGTTGTGTATTGAGTCTCCATGCACAACTATAGGAACCTAACGCTTCTAACGTACCGCAACTATAGGAGCGTTTCCCTTAAACCTTATCAGATTGAAGCTGAAAGTTTAAGGAATCTTTTGAATACATTTAGCGAAGTGTTTTGATGAGAAAATACAGTGAAATTAATGTATATTTTCGTTGTTGTCGAATAGTAAATGGGTGCTGAAGCCGACATTTAAGCCAATGAAATATATATTTTTTGTTTCATATGAAAATCGTTGGAGGAAATATAAGAGCACGCAAATTTGAGGTTGGGTGTACCATGCTTTTGTTAAAAAGAATCAGTACCCAACAAACAATTTGAACTGATTAAAAGCTGAATAGGCTAAAAAATGGCTGAAGAAGCTAAATTTTGCATGAACAAGCTCTTAATCAGCTTTGAATGTTTGTTGGATAGCTATATTGCTGTGCAGTACATTCAGTAATTTGAATCGAATGACAGCAATGACAGCAATTTGGTATATTTGTCAGTTTGTTTGTTTCACCAATCAACTGACTCCACATTATTTTGCTAGAAATCCAGCAATGCAATGCTGTAAACGATGATTATTTTGAAATATTTCGAGCTTCACTCAGATGTTTAGCACATTAATTCCTTCAATGGCAAAGAAATATAAATATTGAAGTTCATTGACATACATTTGATGACGATTAACTTAGCCGATGTTAGTCACGATACATAGGATAGTGATGCCCCCCGTTTCATTTAAGTACTATTCCTGGCCACCATACTGCATATTAAACAATCTGGTTAGAAGTGTCTTAAGCCTTTGTTTCTCTTTTATCAACTGGTTAGGTAGATTTCGCCAATGCTAGATTAATCTTGTTTTAATAATTTTAACCCCCAGCTCAAAACGTGATGAAACTTTGCAAGAGGAGCACTTTCAAAACAAATGTAATTTTAAACATTTCAAAGCCGGTCACTAGGGCCAACGATCAATACGATTCGCCTTATAAATTTCACAGGGTCTGGTACTTCCTAAGCCAACAGATTGAGCATGTTTCTTCGGGACCCCCTTGCCTTAATGTTAGTCTATGCTAGGGCGCTGCTAAAAAAAACATCTGAGTTCAAATTCTAGCTGGACCAAACTATAGATAATATATACGTTTCAATGATTCAAAAAGTTCAGATTACTTACCATTTCAGATATCGATTGCGTATCATACATTTTTAATTTGAATGAGGGCAATGGAAGATTATGATCAATAACTCTGTAAGTCCTATTGTTATATCATCTCTTTAAATAATCGATTTTGTATTTTATTTCATGCAGGCAACACTGGCTCTTCAGAAGGCGCTTCGCAAATGAACGCATACTCTCCTCGCTCATTGCAAGGTTCATTCTCATTCGGAGGAGAAAATTTCAATTCATCCTTTCAATACATCGCACGTTCTCGTTCACATTCATTCATCCTTTCTATTCCGCTTCACTCTCGCACACTACTCTTCCCCTTAGGCGTAGGACACATGCGAGCGAAGAGCGAACAACAACGGCGGGGAAGTGTGCCATCATCGTCGTAGTCCTTCTTTCTTCCTATTCATTCTTGAATGCCGATGGCACGTTCGCTCGCTCGTCAAGTTCCGTTGCTTGGCGTACGCGATTGAGCCGTGCTGGTGCAGAGCCCATTCAATTGATCGCCTAACGCCGAGGCAGACGTATTCAGTAGTGGTTCAACGCGATTCAAGAAGCACACACTAACCAAATTGAATGGTGGTGTATCCTTGACTCCAGTGTTCGTCTGATTGCGGTTACGTAGTGGTATCCAAGTGAGTTGTAAAGACAAAAGGAAGAATAACCGTTAGATTTGTTTAATGAATGGGACGAGTGCGTCGTCGTCGTCTTCTTTGTCTCAACCGTCGTCGCCAGCAGTAAGCTTCGATTAATGAAAAGGATCTAACGGTAAATAGCTCCCTGTGAAGCGAGTTTGCGAGATCTGTGTGTTTCGCATGCGGCAACGCTGAACGAGAAAGTGTTATTGTTTTTGCGTCATTGCGAAAGAGGAAGCATTAGTTTCGACTAATGAGACTAAGTGGATTTAGTAAAAAGGATTAACTGTGGAAATTGAAGAGAGCTTTAGGGTGGATTACGGTGGCAAAAAGCAGGCCAATCCGAAGAGCAGTAAAGAAGACGTTGTTCTGGGCGGGTGTTTACTAATTGAGTGCAATTGTTGGAGCTGCAGTGTGGTAGTAGTGGGTGGTGTGCTACGAGCGGTGTAGGAGTTTATTACCGTAGTTCGGTTCCACAACCGTACTAGTGGGCGACCGGACTTTTCGCATGATCCCGGTTGGAACAACAAAATGACAATGTCGCAGCTTTTGAAGCAGACGAAGAAGTGTTGCGTGAAGGTAAGTCCTCGTTTCCTAGCCTGATGGTTTATATATGGAAGGATTACGATTTTGGGTCGCATGTCAATAGCAAACACTAGACGGTGTCTGTCGATTTCGGTACGAATGTAAAACGCAGTGTTTGATTTTAATTTTCTCGTATTAGGGGAGTGACGACAGAGCATACATACCGAGGAAACCGGTAGAATCGGACGTTCTCACGCTGTACTGAGCTCTGTACGTGTAGAGAGCAGTAGCAGCAGGGGTGGCAATTAATTTTAACAAGTTTGCCGTACTTGACAAGGGGACTGTGTGATGTGTAGTGAGAAGGAAAGAGATAGCTTATCCCAACCATGGCACTTATACAAAGTGTATAGTTTTTGCCCACTCCACAGGATAATGGATGCAGTGTCACTCGGTCACACACAGCTGTGGAAGCGTGGGATTTTGTGATTTAATGTGCCAGGGAGAGAAGATTATGGTGCTTGGCGTTACGTCAAGTTTTTAAACCTATCAGTTACGGTTGGATGGGTTCAAAGGGATTTCGAAGCGGTGGTACACCAGTGTTGACAGCTTGTGTGGGTAATAAGTCAACTAGCAGCTTGCGGTGGTTATTTTACTGTTAGAAAAATGAGTTTTGAGAAAAAATTAAAAATTCCCACCCTGGACTAAATTAGATTGCAATAAATCCTCGTTACGACCTATATTGATAGCATTTCGTCATCGCCACCAGACTCTTTCTAAATATCCTTGAGCAGTGCTCAGGCAAACTGTTATCGCCACAATAAAAAAGGATCTGAAAATCAATTCCTTGCTACAATGTGCCGCATGCTCCTTCTACAGTACGGCAATAAAATCCATTTACCACTTCCATCTTCGCCGTCGCCGTCCCCAGCCGTCGCTTCCATCGCGACATTGGATTCAACTGTGTGTATTTCAGCTAAAAACTTCCTACGGCTATTTGGCGAAAACGATTCAAGCAATGTGTAGGTGTTTACTATCTTCCCCCGCTTGTCGCCTCTGCTTCCGCTCGGGTTTCTCTCTATTCGATACACCACTGTGGGGGTACATAGTAGAGCATGCCGAGGTTCGCGGAAATGTACTCCAGTGGAAATATTACGGCCGTTTTACAAAGGCACCCACCCAATAGCTATGGAGTTTCATGGCTTTTGGATGTAAATTATAACACTAATTGTTGTATCGTGTATTTTCACGATTGAAGTGTTTCACATTGATGTTTTATGCTTTTGGTTTGTATTTGACATATTCCAGGAACTGAAATCAATTTAATTCGGTCAGATACAGGCAGCTGTAAGTATTTCAATTTATAAACGAATATCATTGTTCCCAATAAATTTGCTTCGCACTGATTTTGCCAGCTCTCAACACTACAGGGAAGACCGCTTTTAAACGTATGGTGGACAATCGAGTTGTAAATATTTGACGAAATTCACATCCAACAATAATTATGCATTTAGTTTGACCTATTTTTTATGCATAATATCGCTATTACTACTACTACTACAAAACAAACAAGAACAGCTCGGATAATCCAGGATCTTTTTTTTTCTGATGCATGCTCTTGAGCTCTTAATGTATCACTTTTATCTATTTTACAACCAAATTATCTTCAAAAGTGCATTTGCCGACGGTACCATTGAATGTCCGTTTTACTCCAACGCAAAATATATGGAAGCCTTTTTGGTTTAATTAAAAAATATTTAATACATCTTCTACTTACATTATTTCTAAAGAGATACCCAGAATACACTAATTTTCACCATAAGCATCAATCTCTTTATGGTATCAATTTTATTTTCACCCACTCCTACACGAAGCATACTCGAATAAATTGCTTTCATTCACTTCGCATACCAAGTCACAGTAGAAAAAATCTCTGAGTTTCAAACAGTTTTTACATAGACTCATTTGACCGGTCGCCATTTGAATGAACACTGATTAGTTGTAAATTGATAAACGGCTTTTCGGCTTCATAGGGGAAATGACGGCTTCGGCATGACAGACTATTTTCGGCAACACAAATTGAAACACTATTTTCACTGGATTTTCTTACGAAAACACTTCGCTGAATGCATGCAAACGATTTTTTATGCTTTCAGCTTCAATTTGACTATACTTTTACCACTGAGAAAAAGCAATCTAGCAAGGTTTTCTTGAAATGCAACACACGCACTACAAATTGTAGCTGATTTCGAGTTGCCGATAATAGAACAGCAGATTTACATGCAGTTCAAATGGAACGGTTGCCGAAGAAAAACTGGTTGCCGACAATACTCGCTCTCACTAGAGAAGATTGGAGCTTTGTAAAAGCGTTTCAAAACAGTTTTTGACAATTATTTCGACTGAAATTGTTAGAGCAGCTGGCAGCAAAAGATTGTAAACAAACCAATACTGCATATGTGTGCGTTCCGTACACTGAGCCAATATGACATATTCCTGTTATGTGGAAGTCTAATAAATTTGCGCTATAAGATAATCCAATGAAAATTATATGATTGAAAATGTGTCAGATAAATTCTATATGAATATCTGATACATTTACAATGCTGATAATTTGGTAACTTTTATATGATCGTCATATGATAAATGAAAATCGGTCAAATTATAATAATTAACTGAAATGGATTTGAAACCCATAAGCATAAGCTTTACTTTTCACCACAACATATTATATGTGTCATAAATCAATCGAAGTAAAGTTTATGTGAAAACCACATGAAATTTACTTCTTCTTTTGACACATATATTTAATCGATTTCTAAAAATAAATCGAAAAATAAACATCTCGCAGTGGGGAGCTTTCACAGTTGTGTCTTTTTTTATTGTAGCTGATTTGGGATTCGATCAAGAACTGTTGAAGTGTGATGCTTTCGGTGTTTGCGCTCGATTCCACTGGGACACGGCTGACTTCAAGATTGAGCTCGTTCAATTAGCATGAAGTAAGAACAGCTCTCCCGACATGGAATGTAGTGCAACGTTATGCTCGTTTTGCTAGAGTGAAGAAAAATAGCACTGACAAATTTATGCTCCGTTTCGGTGGTGTCGTGTATTCAAATCTTGCTTAATGCTCCTGTGTGCAATAAAACAACGACTACATTATATGAGTTCAGGGAACTGGTTCATGGAGTTCGAGTACTAGTGCTGAAATCTGAATTAGCCGTGTAGAAGGCTTACAATTAGAATTTTAGCAAAGTAAATATTGCAGTAGAATCATGCCCATTTTTTCAATCTCAATACATTCTTTTCCGGAACCCCTTATCTTATGGAACAATGACAAACAAAGATTATTCAATACAGTATCATTTTTGCTAGCAATATTTAGTTCGACTAATCATTTTAATGAGTGTATGATAACATCGTTGAAAATTGTTTCAATAATTCACAAAGAACAATCATGTAAGATGTTTTTATTGGGAGCGATATTCATCCCGGAAAGCCATGCCAAAACCTCGGCCAAAACAAAAGTTTGCTGTTGGATTTCTTAAAAGGCACATCTATATGACTATATAATGATTGGGATAGATCTGTTTACAATCTTTAAACCTCAAAAATCAAAGGAAGCTATTTCAATTAGATATACATGTTTTCCTATACTGCAAAGTTAAATGACAGTCCAATAGTTTCTACATGTCTGTTTGCACGTGACATATCAACAAACGTCAAAAATCGTTAAAAGCAACTCCAATAAAATATACATGATTATCTTATAAGATATATCTTTTAGTGAGCAATATTCATCATGAAAACAGGTATATTTTACTGAATTTTCTCATAGTGCAAACTTATATGATTTTCCATTAGTTTCTAGATGTCTGTTCCTACCCATGACATATCAACAGTTTTTCACCATGAAATATATCAGACAATATTCATATACATCTTACCTATCGCTAACACTGTTCGAAGCAAAGTTTTATCAAGTACTAAGTATGTGAAATTACGATATAAATCATTCCATATCGCAGTCATAGTTTTTAAGTGATAATCCGATGGAATCTATCAATCATCACATAGAATGGATAAATCTGCTGACATTGCAATGTTATAAGATGGACCCAATAAACGATACATGTCGATTTGTTTCAGTGTAGAGAAAAAGGCTATAGAAAGAAGGTCGCTGCTTAGGTTGCCGAGAATACGTAAATTCCCCTATCTGTTTATGTTTTAAATATTAATAGAAGCTATTTTTAAAATACTTCCCAGATCTTTTGACTAAAGGGAGTATCTTAAATAAGTTTATGATGCATGATTTGACATTCCAAATTAAAATCAAACTACACAGAAATTTGTTCACTAAATTATTAGATCCATCCGATTGAGTTTTTGTTTATAAAGTTTTCTAATCCATTGGAATTAATTAAACCGACAAATATTAAAGAATCCTTAACAATCGGGAAAATCTGTAAATAACCGGGAATTTGAATGAAACCTTTATTTTTCTTTATATCTGGAAGTGAAGGAAGGATGTCTCATTCCCACAGGTTGTACTTCTAGCAATAAACAGATTTTAAATTAATCTTAAGAGCACTTATATTAACAGCAGCTTCCTTGATGATTAAAGGGTGTCCACGATGAAATTGCCACACACAAAATTGATTCGCAAAATTCGAGTTTTTATCCGATTGCCATCAAATTTTCAGGGATTGAGAAATAACTATTAAACTTCATTTTACCATTTTACTCGTATTTTATTTACAGTCCATACGCAAATGCCCGCACCTTGGCCTTAACCCCGGCCATAAGATTCTGCACAACCTGTGAATCAACCGTTTTTTGCTTGTAAACCCATACTTTCTTCAGTTCCTCGACTGTCTTCACTACCTTAGGTCGTTTAAGAAGGTGCTGCTTCATAATCGCCCAGTACTTCTCGAAGGGGCGGAGCTCCGGAGTGTTGGGAGGGTTGAACATTTTCGGCATGAAATTGACCTTATTGTCCGCATACCACTTCAGCACGTCCTTGAAGTAGTGGCATGAGACCAAATCCGGCCAGAAGATTGTTG